TTACTACAATAATTGGGGTGGGTGCACAGAAGTGATTTTTGTTGGTCTGTGCTATTAAAAATTCGCCCTCCACAGATAACAACAGAATGTAGTAACATGTAGCAGCAATTGATGAGTGCACAATGTTTTATATGTGTGTACGATCAATCGCTGCTACATGTACATATATAGAGAGAGAGATTTTAGTAGCACGGTTTAACAAATATAGCCTCATCTATACCAACAGCATCTCCACTGTAATACAGTCATGACATTTTCTACATGGCAGGACACACTTGCATTATGTTAAAGTGCACATTGCTGAAAAGGCTTGCATCAAGTTATGACTGTAAACAGCAGCCTTTATTACTCAGGCTCATTTAAAGTTAATGGGAGGGATCGATTGCAGTGACACATGAAGCACTTCAATGGACAAGCTTGGAGTCCACACATCAAAGTCAGGTTCTCTTTGAAGTTGTCAGTTACCTGCTGCTCCAGCGCGCCCCCAGCGGCGTCCTGTTGTATGACAGCTGTACAGTCGGCCAGGTCCTGCCAGTCAATGGTGGAGAGCGCTGCGGGGCAATCAGGGGACAAGTAGAGAGATCAGTGGAAGTTGAGGATTCCATTCCTGTGACATCTCTATGGCTGTATATGATATTATAGACTGTAGGAGGCATTTACCTGCATCTACTGCGCTGGGAGACTCATCTACATAGATAGTCACAGGACCAGAGGACTCAGCAAAAATCCGCTTCAACACCTGTGTACAATGAGTGACAGTTAGGTACCAATGGCTGTGAGATGTGCACATGGCTGATACTGATCATACAATGCCGGGTGTCATCCTACCTTCCGCTCCGGCTTGTCTTGCTTTTTATTCAGCCGGTTGGATAGATCCTGCACCCTGTTAGGACACAGCCTGTCAAACGCCTTTCTCTTGTTCTGCATGCTTGCAGGGATATTGCAGATAATGATATGTAGTATGGGAGCGGAGTGCGAACTGTCAGAAATAATCGGGTAACTTATAAGAAAGGACCGGTGACAGGCAGGCGGGCTGCGCTCCAATCACAGGCAGCGGAGCCCCGCTGGTCTCCAGGGCAGAAGCGTCCCTAGCAGCGGCGCTGTGTACGGAGCATGCGCAGAAGAGCCGCATTGGAAGCCCGCCAGTGCCCGGGCTGCGGAGCGCTGAGTGCGCGGATGATGGCGATCAGTGAAAGCTGGGAGCGCAGACAATGGCCGGCTGGGGACAATAGGGGCAGGAGACGTGCTGACATCTAATTAGAGGTGTCACCAGATTACAACCCCCCCGCGGTGGGGACACTTCACACTCTGCTGATAAACATCGCTAACTGATCATTCACAACGTGTTGTTGTCATTTGATGGCCGGTGATAACGGGGCATTGAGCGGCAAGGAGCGACCATGAAGCGCCCATTAAGAGCCCCTACATGTGCCTACAAGTCTATGGATGTGATGGAGGATGAGGGTGCATGTAAACCCCAGCAAGGGAATTCTCTGATTTGCTATCCTTTGGTCTATTAAAAATGCAATTAAAGCTAAACTCCAGGAATAAAAAAAGAAAAAAAACTATCCACGCAGTGCCCCTTCCACCACCACACTGCAAGGGTTAAATGCTGGTTAGGGCTGCCATACACTATGCAGTGGTGTCACAAGGGGGTGCGGCCGCACCCGGGTGACACCATTGGAGGGTGTCATTCTTACAGTCATTTTGGTGTCACCCCCCTCTAAAAAGTCAGGGACTGGGTCATGGACCGAGAGCCAGACATTGCCAAGAGAGAGGAGGGGACACGGTGGCATACCTCATACCGCCTGGTGAACGTCCCCTACTCTCACCAAGATGGTTGCCGGCAGGCGTCAATTAGATGGTCGCGCATGTGCTCTCCAGCTCCATCTAATGGTGGGAATGGCATGCTAATGGCATTCACCTAGCGTATGTCTGGGTAGAAGTTTTATAAATCAACACCTTTCACTTTTTCTTGATGAACAAGAAAAAAAACTCTCGATTCCC